TGATTAGAAATCTGAAAGAAGTTATTATGCACTGCACTACAGGTCTTCTAAGACAGTTTTAATCTAATGGAATGACATAATTATCAAAGGTTCTTAAATAAAATAACCAGAAGTTTCTTGATATGCAGATTCTCTTGAAGAGAGAAAGGCATGCAGGACAAATGCTGAGTTACAAACCACAAAGGGATCTGAATAAGACTGGTAATATGTGATCATCTGCCTTAGGGAATTCTACCCAGCAGTGAAGGTTTTCATTGAACATAGAACGTAAGAATAGTTGAATCTGAGTATTTAGTCATCACACTGTCCACTAATGTATAGATTCACAAAGATATACACAAAAAGCTCATTAACCACATGATTCTGCAGATGAGCCAAGGCCTTTATATCCAGATGTCATCAAAATGGCCCCATTGAAATGCTAAGGGTGTCAACCCTTGCCCTTAATTGGGTCTTTTGCAAACAATGCAACCTCATTATCATCATTTATTTGTCAGCAAAAGGAAAAGAGGATAAACCAGAATGAAGTCCCCATACACACAGTCCTGCTCAAAGCAACACATTTCTGCTTGTTGCACAGAGCTCCACTGTAAGGAAAAATGAAATGCAGCAAGAGATCCAAGCAGCTACTCAATGGTGAGCTGTATGCAATGAGACGCTGGAAGCAGGATGTGTAACAGAGATGACATAAGGGCACAGAGGAGCCCAACTTCAATAGGTGTTGCACAACTCTGGAAGTCTAGGGAAGAGCAGCAGAAGGACCAAACTGATGCGTACCCATCAGGAAGAAGTAGCTGACTCTGGGCAATGGCGCTGGCAGGTTATGAGGTGGACAGACATTGTGGCATACAGCGACAGGCCCTGCAAACTGTGGCTACAGCCACAAACCAAAGGACAGTCTTCAAATGTATACAGCGCTGAGAGGACCATTGCTATGTATCATTAGCTTTAAGGACACCCGTACTCATAGAGAGCCGCACTGTTAAGTGTTGCCATCTAAAAGTAACTGTTTTACTAGAAATGTACTCAAAATGGAATGACTATTTCAACAATTTTAGACCTAAAAATCTGTATTTTGGAAACACCAGTGAATTCTAATAGGAAAACTTTTGTTTGTTTTTGGGTGCATAAAGCTGTTTTTACTGCACAGTGCTTCTATGGTCATAGCTATGCCTCATTACGACTCCCATTTATTTTTAAGCCATTACGGTCTTTCCATTACACGGAGTTTCCTGCTGAGTTACAGACATAGAGTTAGAGATAATATTTGGTTTTTGAATATAGGACAAAATTAAGAAATGGCTCAAGAGGTCCACACTAGGAAGTCCACGTTGGCTTGCAAAGAGAAAACAGTGAACTTAAGAAGCTTTTTAAAAAGAAAAATTGTAAAACAATCCCTTAGGATGACTGTGAGCTTAGGAAGGGAAATGTGGTTATAACTAAATGCTAAAGTTTTTTTTTAAAATGAAAAAGGACTTTTAAAAATAAAACACATTTATCTTGGGTCTCAGTTTTTAAAGTCAATTTTGTTGATATTTATTGAATTAGCTGAGAGAAACAAAATAAATAATAGCATAAAAGCTTCATGTAAAGTGTACAGAAGAACATCTTGACTCTTGAGTTGATGAAAACTCTTGAATAAGACTAGTCACCAAGAAAAGATGTGGAGCTCAAACAGTTAGCCATTCAATAAATATCTGCTGAATGAAAAAACTGAGGTAGCCTACATACAGTTGAAGAATAACACATAGATTGGGGCCTTATGAAAACTAAAGGCCTTTCTGAATGGAAACTAACAGGGAGAGCTCAAAGAAAATGAGTCTTCTACAAATTCTGGCTCTCTAGGTGCTCCAGGTTCCCTGAATGTGAAGGATTACTCATCTACTATGACTAATACTTTCTTCCTCCTTAAGAGTGGTTGGCCTACCTTTTTTGCCCCTGAAAAGGCCAACACAAGGTATTCTGTTGATTTTCATTTCTTCCCTTGTCTAGATCACCCTGATGTGTTAATATCTCCCCTGCTGTGTTTCTTTACAGTAGAGAGTGTGTAGAACTGTCACTGCCAGGTTGGTCCTTGGGGATCAGACAGAATGTGTACTACATTGGCATGGAAGCATGTACTATGGGAGCATGTACTACGGTATTCCAGGGATCATACGCTACCATGAAACAACAGAAGTCTAGGTGTAGGTGTTATGTGGGACAGCCAGCAGGAATGGATGGAGCAGGTGACTGAATGCAGGAACATGCTAGGGGAATACGCATTTAAGAATATATCCCGAAGTCTGGTGTTTCACCCTGATAACAAAGTAGTATACAGAAGGGAAAGGATTGGAAAGTATATGTGGAAGAAAGACAGGAAATTTTGTACGTAGGATATGGCTTTGTAGAGATGCTGTGGCTTTGGTCAGGTTATATAACTGATGTCTTTTTGAGTTCCTAGAGCTCAGATAACAGGTAATTTGGCTTCTAACAGAGCTAGTCAAAAAACACTCTCTACCAAGCTACCCAGAGCTATATATAGCAAACTCTGAGGTAAAGAGAAAAGAGCACAGTCATACAAATGCAGAAATCAATTAGGGTCTTTCTGATGGACTGTGTCCTGGTTAATGAAGAGATTCCCATATAAGCACATCACCAGCACAATACATTAAAAATATTTATGACAGTTTTTTTTTTTTAAATGACAGTTTTATTTAATGCTTGTCTTGGAGTCAGAACAATGGCCTGAGTGATTTTTTAAAGTGTCTTCTAGTCTGACAGGTTTCTGACATCATTCAATATTAAAAAAGGTCAGCCACCAAAGAGCTGTGTGGGTCTTAGAGAACACAAATGATGCCTAATGTGTTATATCTGTGATTCTGTGGCCACATTCACGCAAAGAAAATTAAGCAAAAACTTCAATACCTTATTCACTGAGTTCAAAGAAATAAATAAAAACACTTTGGGGTCAGTAATCAACTGGACATTTCTTTCCATCTCAATATTATGCTTTAATTTTGCTAATATTTGGTGTGTGTAGCCTATAATCATAAAGACAAATACTATCTCAATTTGTGGAACCCCAGAGGCAAAGGAAACCAGTATCATTGTTGCGATATGGAGAGAACTGTTTTCTGAGAGATGCTGATACAATTTTATTTCATCAAAAAAGATTATAAACTATAAGGTAGGGCTGACAGGGATTGTTTATATGTTGATATTTACATGTATTAATAGTGATCATCCTAAACCAAAACTTAGTAAAGAGTCAAATTCAGGTGAGAAAGACCACTTATTAAAATGCTGCTTGTGATCACCAAGGAATATGTTTATTAGGACTAATTACACATCGTGAGGTCTTGCTATTCTAATACTATTCAGCTGTTTAAAGATTTAGTCTTTCTAGTGGATAATATACAGGTTTATTTCCCCTGATTCTTGCTCAAGAGAAGAATGTATAAAGTCATATAAACATTTTGCTTGGCTGAAAGAGCTAATGAATCCAAAATACTTACAAAGATGATGCTTTCTGAATCACTGAGAAAGCTAAATGGCATATCTGCTTATTTGGTTAAAAAATCTCTTTATCTAATGTGACTGGCATCAATGATTCATAAAATTACTTCTGTTCAAATTTTAGCTCTGGGGCAAGAGCGAGATGAATAGACCTACTAAATAAAATCCTTGACACAGCTATCCACCTTTCCACTGTAAGAGAAAAAAAAATGACTATCTCTAGCAGAATTAGGTCAGTGCACTAAATTATAAATAGAGAACACACTTTAATATAATAGAGTCAGCTCTTCTATTCAACCAAGGAGGAAAAAGTCAGCATAGGTGACTGGTAACTTGCAGTCTATATGCATTTTTATTTCCTAAATTTCTTATCTGTCTCCTTGACCTGAGAGTTTCCAGGTTCTTTATTCTATAACATGAATATAGTTTTCCAAAACTGTGTCTTACTAATGTCACTACAAAATGAAAGCCGATGTTGACACTATTAAGTAAATAATCTTTCCAAATAATGTTTATTGATGAATCATTTCTCTGAATTTGTTTTATGCTTATTTTCCTTTAATACATCTTTAATACTTTTTAAAAAGATTTTATTTATTTATTTAACACAGAGAAAGAGAGAGACACAAGCAAGGGGAGTGGGAGAGGGAGAAGCAGGCTTCCCGCTGAGCACAGAGCAGGATGCGGGGCTCTATCCCCGGACCCTGGGATCATGACCTGAGCTGAATGCAGACGTTTAATGACTGAGCCACCCAGGCGCCCCCATCTTTAATACTTTTTAAAGATCCTATTCTTACCATTTTTTTTTGGAATGGCTTCTCGACAAATGTCCAGTAGAAATTGTAGTTACATACACAGAATTACGAAAATAAGAACACGAAACTGTGAAAGCAACTGAAGCAAAATTAACCCTTCTAAAATAGCCAGGAGACCAAAAAGAAGTCAAAGTATGTTTAGAGGTACGTGCAGAGGCAGTGAGATGTCCATAGAAATGCTGGCAATGACTCATTTATATTTCTAAAAAAACCTGGGCAACTCAAGTGAATGGAGGTCAAGAATATATTAGGAAAGTGCACAAAAACCTAGGATAAAAAGAATGCCAAATGTTCAAACTCACTGAGACCATTAAAGGTTTTAAACAATGGTCCTTTCCATACTCTGTTCTTGAACACAATCTGTTTTCTAGACATAAATAAACATTTTATATTACCTTCTGATACATTTACAATTTGATATTATGTCCCCAGACTGTCATTACTAGTTTAAAATTACAATGTACCCAAATGTCCTATGTTTGTGTATATTTCAAGACAGAGAAAAAATATAATGTGAAAAAATTGACAAAATCTCTATATATAATCAAAATAATGTGTACGTATGAAAAGAAAAGTACTTTTGTTTTTTAGAAGAGGCCTAGTTCCCAAACTTGTTATTTGAAACAACTATTTTTCTGATTTATATGGAACTCTAATTAGGATTTTCCACTTCTGATTTAATCATACCTTTCACATCTTCATCCTCAATTGTTGTATTTGAACTCTCAGTTGACTCCTGTCGAGAAGAAAACATGTGTTAAGTTGCAAACAATGGAAAACTTCACTTTTTTTCTTCTTAAAATTGGCAAGTGATATACATATCATGCAAAATTCATCAGCAAGCTGTGTACATATATTGACATGCAGATGGACAAGTACATTATGTGGTTTTAACAGAAATAAAATGCCAAATGCTGCAAACACTTCAAAAAGGGAGTGCTCTGGTGGCCTACTCTGAAGTATGATAAATGTAGGTTATTTGTAGAAGCAGCCCAAGTATGCAACTTATTTTAAGAGCTGTGTAAGGCCATATTTGGTTACAGTGCCCCATAGGGTGTGCTTTTTCTATATATTTATCAGAATTGAATATATTAGCCTAATGAATTTGACCCTAAAATAGAACAATTTCTCTTACCAATTAATTAATGAGTAAATAACCCCATCTTTGTATAAGGAACTAGATCAAGCACTGAATTCACAGCCTATTTGTCTTATTCTTGTGTAGAGACAGAAAGCATTTCATTGTATCAATACGATCAGGAAGCTAGGGGTACTAAGCTGAATTATGCTGAAATTTCATTTTTTTTTTTTTTTTAGATTTTATTTATTTATTTGAGAGAGAGAGTGAGAGAGTGCATGAGAGGGGAGAAAGTCAGAGACAGAAGCAGACTCGCCATGGAGCTGGGAGCCTCATACAGGACTGGATCCCGGGACTCTGGGTTCATGACCTGAGCCAAAGGCAGTTGCTCAACCAACTGAGCCACCCAGGCGCCCTGAAACTGCTTTTAACAAGAATTTCCATGTTTGTGATCAGCGCAATGGAATTATATGAATAATTTACTTTCAAGAACAATTAGATTTTTTCATCCATTTCTTAATTAGAAACTGTTATCAATTAGAAGCTGTTATCAATAAGAAACCTGCTCCCATAATGGAAAGACAAAGCCATTTCTTTGTAAAGCTAAAATGAAGTTGAAGATTAATAAGCACACTTAAAAGGATACTGTAACTGCCAGTATTAAGATACAGTTTCTTAAAATGGTTTGATAAATTTTTTCCACTAATAATGTGCTAACAAAATTTTTTCTAGCAAAGAAATTTAGTAGTATTCATAAGAAAAACACAATTATCTACTTGAAATGATTAAAGGCTAGAGCTGAAAGAAGTTGGAAACAAACTTCCAATCCAGAGCTATGTGCTCAGTGATGAAAAACAGATTTTGGAAAATGATGCAGATACCAATCAGTGTCCTTGTAGAGATTCAATAATCAAAAAAGCAATCAATTTATATAAATATTATATATAATATTTAAGCCAAAGGGACAGACTAATTAAATGTGTATCCAGAAGCTCTCCATATACACAAAACAAAAGCAAATAGTCTTCATGCATTTCTTAATGTGACCTAGTGTTCAAATTTAAACTCAAGATGAAGGTAAACCCATGCACTGTAAAAGTAAACGAATTCATGTAAGCAAGAAATATCATGCAGCAACTCTTACAAATGATATAGCTAGAACTATTGAAGTATCCACTCCAGCTGTTATGCTTGGTCTTTCATTTGCTAATGATATTTAAAAAAAATTTTTCTCCTATATGATGCTCGTGAGTCCTATAAGTCTTTCAGGGACTTAAAATATTTTGTATTATGACCATAAAATACATCTCATATTAAAGAATACTTGATTTTTTTTTACTTTAATGATTTTAATATTGATCAACTAAATGTTAAACCAGAGGAAATGTGTTCTCTAAGACTTAAATATTGTTGATAAGAGTAAGGAGAAATTAGACCTGTGACTATATTTAGTATTTGAGAAAAATCGATGAAATATTTTTTCCTTCCCTTAGAGATACAATAATATATGAGAGTTAGTAAACTGGAAACATGGAATATGTTCAGAAAATGTCTCCTTTCGTCCTATAGACATGTACACAAGTACTATTATTTAGTTAACATGCTACACAATCTACAACAGACAGAAAACATTACAGTCTTCTTTCAGCCTAAGTGGTTAAATATCTGTTACTGAAATGCATATAACTCAACAAAAACAAACATTTCATAAGAATTGAAACTCCCTGATTATCCTCAATTTCATGCCAAACAACAAAAACAACACCAACAGGGAATTAACAGAAAAAGCACTATGACAACAGAATAAATAAAACTCAAAAGCAACATTAAATTTAAACAAACACTTATGAACTCAAGTTGATTTTTTTGAAGACACTGAAATGAGATAGCAAGAAATGCTAAAATTTCATGCAGAATATAATTAAAGTACAATGCACAAACAGGCATGGAGAAGGGAAAAAAAAAAAAAAAGACCAGATGGAATTGCTTAAGATACACAGTCATCTTGACATAAAGACTTTGCTTAACCCGACTTTTATTGGCTAATGGTTCCATTCATTTCTTTTTCAAGATGTCATTCATTTTTGTTTTGAAAGAAATATGTGTAAAATTCTAGATAAATGAGGTCCCCCCCCAAAAAAGTGTGGTAGAAAAAGGGTAAGAATTTTCTTTCCCGTATTTAGATAATGAATTTTGCTTTGGATATTTGATGAAATGTGTCATCTTGTTAAAGCAAGATGATGTTGATTCTTTCTGAATACCTTGTTTCCATCAGGGTTGTGGATTACAGTAGTTTGGGGCTCCTGAGTGAGAACAAAATAGAGAAAGAAACAGTTCGCATTGGTAAGTACATTCTTACTAGTGTGAGGGACAGAGCAGAGTGAGCCAGCTGACAAAACTAAATAGTGACAAGAGCTTAAGCGATGTTAACTATTGTCAGAGGTAGCAGCTGACAAGATCACTGATGAAAGATCTCCCTGATGAGCCCATGAGATAGGATACCTCAGTACACAGCAGCAGCATGCAAAAGACCTTATTCGTGATCAGTACACAGACAAGGCTTTGAAGTTTGGAGACCTAAAGAGGCACTCACTGTTTCACAAAGTTCTGAAACAGAACTTTCCTTTTTTCTTTAGTGAGTAGGCTGTTAATGTGTGTCCTAATAGAAAACGGACCAAGAACATTGGAGATTAGAACTCTTTAAAATGATCTTGAATCCTTTCTGAGGACTTTTTTTCAGGTGCATCTGTGAGAATGGATTATGATGTCATCACTAGAGTTAGTAATGTATAGTTAACACACAGATAAATACTCTGAAAATCTAGAACATTGTGCCTTGCTTAAAAAAAAAAGGCTATCCTAAAGAATGTATTTCCAAAGTCCATTAGCAATTCTATGGAATATTGAAAAGGTTCATTTAAAGGATTCTAGGAGTAATCATATAATCACTATAATCTGAGACATACTGCTATTAAATGCCATGCTAATTTATACCTAAAAAATAAATTTCAGCTTTATGGACTACATATACAGATTTGCTTGTAAAGTCATGCTTTACTAAGAAGAAAATATTATTCCTTTCTGCTTTCTATCAGAGAATTGAAGAAACATTCCCAAGTGGAAAATAACACTCAAATGACTGATGTTAAAAAAGATTCAGTGTCCATATATTATTGGCATGCTTGGCACTTTCATTGCATGATGTCTTGGTAACTGAGAGTTACTGCAGCCCACTGAAAATTTTTTCCCACTATAAGCACTCTTCTGTCCTCTAGGATCTCCTCTTCACCACGGTTTATGCCATAACAAAGAACACATTTACTGCTTCTTTTCTTCCTTTCCCTTGTGAGAGGTGTGATTGACATTGTCTTTTACTCATAGATAACACTGTCTTGATATGTCCTTTTTCCTTTAAGTGTTTTTAAACTGAACCTTCTGGTTAACCCAAGTGAAATAATCTTACTATTTTTTATTCATTAAAAATAACAGTACAGAGGATAGTAAAAAATCAGAACTATTTCAGAAAACCCTTATCAAAATATGTAATAGTTTGAACAAACCATTATGGAACTCAGAGTACTGAATGCCAGTATTCAAATCTTGACTTTTAACATAACACTATCTCAAAGTATTAAAATGATTTAGTTGTAAATAGTGTGAATTGATTAAAAGGGGCAAAACTCATTTCCACTGATCATTCAAAGCTCTCTGCTATACACTTCATTCTTTGGATTAAAGTGAAACAGTGATCATTTAAAACACAGCAAACAAGAAGCTCAGAATTACCCAATGCCTCTTTATCTCAAAAAGTGAGGTCTTACAAAGCCCTGCTGTCTTTTAGTAAGAGGGAACGGGAACTCTGAATAAGGTCTACATTACTGTTGTCTAGCAATAATCCCCTTAGCTCTCCTTGATGTCAATATTTCTATCATGAAAGGAGGAAACCGTTTTTTGCATCATCTAGAGCTACCATCAGAAGAAGAGCTAAGAGCAACCAAAGCGCATTCTACTGTATTCTAAAGCAGCATGCAACAGTTTCAACTACAGAGACCACAGCTATCAGAATAATGTTCGACAATGAAATGAGATCATCTCATGTTAGAAACACACTGCTTGGCAACTACCTTAACAACAACAACAAAAAAGAAACGAAATGAACTTTTCTCATTATCTGTGTAAGCAAAACAAAACCCAACAAAATAAAGTACTTATATAATATATGTATCTATAGAGTGAAAGCAAATGAGAGAAACAACAAAAACAATAAAGAACTTAAGAAGGGTTACAAAGAGTCCAGGTATACCAGCGCCGGGGTAGGAATATTTTCTTTGGGGCTGGTTACCACGTTGGCTTTGTTGTTTATCTGTAGGTATGCAGAAAATAGAAACAGAGATGCCTTAAACCCCTTCGTAGCTAATGTCTCTATATTGCAGCACGTCTATGTGGAGATATAGACTTGAAAATAAAGAGCCACTGAGGATGAACGTGAAAGACACTGTGATGTCTGACAAGAATAATAATCAATTCTATAGTCATACAGGCTAGGACCGTGTCTCTGACAGTGGAATGATAAAACAGACTTGGGTGCTTTGGCTGTGGCACATTAGCCACCGAAGAACTGCTTCAGTGGAGCTCGAATCAACTTTAGAGTATGAAATAAATATAAACATTTTCATACTCTTCAAGGTGGATTCTGTTCCCAGCTTCCAATTGTTCTCTGTTATGAACACTTTTTTTTTTCATTTTATTCTTGATCCTGAAGTCACACATAGACCGTCTTTCTCTGAGAAGCCATCATCACTTTGCTTAGTAGGCATCCAATTCAAAACCTCTATCTTCTGATGAGATGCAGGCTTTATATTTTTTAAATGGTACGTCTGGGCCTCTTTAAAAAAACACATCTCCAATTATAAATGGGCAAACTGAATTCTTTACTATATTCTGAATGTTAGAAGACCTTTTTCACAATTGTTTGAGAGGAAAACACTGTGTTTCTTGACAAAGTGTTACTCCTTTGCTTTTCTTTCAAAGTGCTACTATTGAAGATTGTGTTTGGTAATATCACTCCTTTGCTTTAACATATTGGGGTTGACCTTAAAGAAAGATCATCTCACAACGGAAGCCACATTGTGAAAGCAGCTCAGGCGTCGATAAGTATTATAATGGGTGCACAGAGAAAAATCAAGGTAGACAAGCGACAACTTGAAATCACAACTGAGTTTGGGCACTAAAGGATCAAAAACTAAACAGTAATAGTCAACATTCTTTTAAACTCATGTGTGATAACTTACATTATGGTTACCAAACAGAAGTATAAATTAACATTAATTCTCTTATACTGCATTATCTACTACTATTTTCTTTACATATTATTATCTAAAGGAACACATCCCATAATTTCAGTATAAATGTTCTTAAGGGTCTCAAAGAGAAAAACGTACTGTATAAAACAGATGAACACCAAATGAGTTTATAAGCAATTACACCAATTTAATTGGACTTTCTGGGAGTTTTTTTCTTTTGTATTTTATACCTGAAGATCATACTGAAACCACTACTGGGAAGAACATAGAAGGTTAAAGAAATTAATTTAGGTATATAATATTTTGCTTTTCTATTTTTTCACATTTGTGTGATTGTTTGGTATCAGTATTATTTAAATAAGCTATAACATTATGCTCTGTGACATGCAAGAAAAGAGAAAACTTCTGGTGCCCTTTACTGAAAAACTCTTTAAATGTTAAACCATCAATCTCTATTTTGCAGATGGTCTAAAATTTTTCTTTACGTAAAAGTGTACAGAATTTAGTATCAAATTTGTGCAACAGCCAGAAAGAAATAAGAGATAATGGAATCTATTAAGAAGAGATCAAAATTTAGTACTTATGTTAGTATGAAATACATGATAAAAAAGGAGGGATGCACACACAATTTCCTTTCAGGAAGACTGTGTGGCAAAACACAGATGACGTCTTGTCAAATGATCAGAGTACTTATAATTAAAGCACCACATGTATTTATTATGTTATATTCAGTTTATATCAGTGGATACAAAAGTAAGAGAGGAATATATTGAGATACTTATACTTCTTTTTTTGGTGATACTTTTATTTCTGTTTTGAGAGAAGAGACTTGATAGTTTTCTAGAATGGTTGTGAAGAACTGATTTCTTTTAGTGAAAACGTCACACATGCACACCTATGCACACATACTTCTTTGCACAAATGTGTGCACACATATAGAACACACACCCCTAGACACATTCACACACAGGTACACAGTGTATACACACTACCAAGTCAACCTTTCCAATCGAGGGCCATTCTTCCTGGATGAGCTATGCTTTATTGTCAGGCATGGCAAATAGGAGTTAAATATGAGCCTCAACCACCACTTTTAATTGTGTTTAAATGTACAGTTACAAACTTTTTAAGTTAATGTAAAGATAAACTTAATGATCTTTTATTACTATGGGAAGTCTTTTGAAGGTACTTGTAATTTTAATTAATTAGTTGAAAAATAATAGGAGAATTTCTAAGTAAAAGTAGAAGTAAAAGTTTTCTAAGTAAAAGAATTTCTAAGTAAAAGACTAGGAGGACTTCTTTTTTATTAAAGAGTCAAATACTAAGTAGGAGTTAAACTATAAGCTGTCTTTTAAACATATAAAAACTTCTGTTTATGAAATATAGTTATTTCATATTATGGAAGCTATTTTCCTTTAACAAAACTAAATCAAACCAGATATTTCAGTAATTCACTGAATTACTGTTATGAGGCATGGGTAAGATATTTTTATTTCGCAGGTGTTAAGGTTATTCAGTTTTGAGGTTAATAAATGTTTCCTCTATAAGATGCTTAACTAGGATGGGTCCATTGTAAGCTTACTTTCACACTATTTATAAACTTCATGGTAGATGCATTATAATGTACCTGACCTAAAAATAACTCCTGTTTTAGTAATCATGATCATCACTTAAAAATAATCCTAGAGTATTCCTTCACTTATCATTAAACAGGCATTAACTACGTCAGGATCTCTTCAGTGTCAAGAGAAAACTGGACCCTGGTCTTATAAAAGATCCTTTAATAGCACATGGATAAAAGTATGAACTTTTTACATATTTTAGAAATTCAATTTCAAAGATAAACAGTATTATATGAATGTGGGTACTGTGTTTTGATAGTTAAGTGACACTGATGTGTAATGGTCCTACACTTTCTCCACTTAAACTAACTTAGGTAAATAAGATTGTTTTTATTCCTAAGTGTGAATTTTCACAGGAGGAGAAATCTGGCAGATAGAGATCCTCACCATCATCTGAACACTCGAACTGGACTTCCTTTTCTGAATTGACCAGTCAAAGAGAAAGGAAAAGAAAAAAATGACCGGTTGAATTTTTAAAGTATCAAAGCAAGGAGCACAGAATAAATTTCTCTTTAAAGAGGAGCTATAAGTTGTCTAGAAGAAAAAAAAGCTCTGGAAATGTTTCTTTCTATATAAGGATAGTAGTAAAAATAAATATCTTGATAGGGATTGTGGCCTCTGCATCACTGAAAGGTACAGAAAAACACACAATGAAACATTTTGAAAATTTAAAATATCACATTTTCACCAGTGTAACATTGGGAAAAAGGCACCATCAACCATCATTAATGAAACTGAAACTGAATAAACTAAGCAGAAGGAAGAGAACATTACAGGTTGAGGAAAGCAATTGGTAAAAGGCAAATGCCATCTTAATGGGAATCACAAGTGCATGGTAACCACAGCTCTGGAAATTCCCAAATCACACATAAACAGGAGGTGAAGAAATGATTGGGCATGAACATAAGATGTGATAAATGATCTTCTATGTTATATTTTCAAAATAAACTGACCAACTAACTTTAGGTCAAGCTCAAATGTTAGAATATTAACTAATACCCAAGAATGTTTAAGTGTTCATGAGGAAAGTACACATCTGTCATTGGAAGAGAAAGAAAAGGATTAAAGAAACAAAATACTTAGGTAATACTCCGGAAAGATAACAAACATAATACAAATACAAGGTTACATTCAATCAAAGATAAATTCCCATGAAACAAAATAGAACCAATAGAAAATAAGTTGTATTACTTTCTTTAGAAATCCTGGAAAGCCAAAAGATCCTGTTATCTTTTCTGGAAAATTTTTCTATAATTTTTCAGAATATTCACCTTGAGTATGTCTCAATACCTTATGATAGAAGAGCAAGAACAATTAAGACCATTATAAAAACTGCCCAAGCAGAGAAATTTAATCATTTGACATTAATTTCCCAGACCCTATGATTTGATTTTTTTTTCAGGTTATACATTTCAGCAGACTTCAAGAGCATAGCGTAACTAGTTGCAAAGCATTTGGTTTTCATTGATTTTTCAGGTCACTATGATAGTTCAGGAGGTAGTAAAGCAGAGAGGATTTAGATATTCAATTTCTACAACTCCATATAAAAGTATTATTTTGTCAGATTATTTAATTATAATAAAATAGAAAAATATACTTTTTCTTGCCATACATATTAGTCACCTTTACATATTATTTTATACTTCAACCTGTATCCTTTATAGGAACTATAAAAAATACAACCTGTGAAAACTCACAAATTATATTTAACATTTAAAAATGATCCAGCATCTGAAAGTCATTAATGATTTTAGGAGCACCTGTTTAAGTTTAACTTACCTTTACTCCATCTGGTTTCTTCAACAAACTCTTGGCTGCTGCAAAATGAGAGAGTAAAATCATTTCAGTGAGTTACCCACAGAAATCCATGCCAGGCAACAAGCCAGATTATTGTTTCCTTCTACCACCTTTACTGAGTTATGGCCAACATATGCCAAATTATCAAAGTCACACTGATGAGCACGAGTTTACAGGACATTGAAATACAGTATCACTTTTCTTGGTTTTGCCATCGCAAATTTAGCACTAAATTCTTATTTAGTTCACTGCATATAATTGAACACTTTGCCAGTTATGTTACTGGACTTTATTTCACTGTTGGTTGCGAAAAGGATACTGGAACTTTAACTGGACTATGCTTTTGTAATCCAGAAAGTTGCTTTCAGTCTTCAGACATTAGCTGACAGATTGTATTACATGTTCATTCATACCACAAGTATGGTGACCATGTCAGTCCTGCCACTTAAGTCCCTCTTTCTAAAGGTTTGAAATTTATTTGTGAAAATTTGCTCTGACTAAATAACACCCTTTTAAAATATATGTATTTGAAATCAGAGCTTTCATTTTTACAAAAATTGATATTAATTGTATTTAAAATAAAAGGGATATTATTGGTCAAGAGCAAATTTTTAAACAGCATAGGGCCTTTAAAAAAAAAAGGCATGATGTCTTCCTTTATACCTCAAAATCAGAATATAAGGCTTTCATAAGCAAAAGCCTTTTACATCAAAAATTAAAAATCATAAAATTTGAGGTAAGATATAAAACAAAACACAATCTTCAACTAAATTAAAGAACCGCTGAAGTATATGGTCTCATATGAAACTTCAATTTCTCCAAGCACAGCTTTTAGCATTCTTTCTGTTACTGAGCTTCTTGAGTATATCAGAAGGTGAATATAAATAAAAATATACTTAATGAATGGGTACATTCATACACAGTGAACAGATTATGTAACTGCTAATGACAATTAGTACAAGTGTAGAACACTTACGAATATGCAGGACAAAGTATACACCTGTTTCCATTTAATGTTTTATATATATATGTGTGTGTGTGTGCGTGTGTATATATAAAATATATAAATTATATATATGTATGTTTATAATTACTTAGTGTATCCGTATAGACTTTGGCATCTGAAATGGAAATACCTAGCTATAATAGAACTGCATGAACATGTAATTTCCTGACATCCATTTGATTTGGGATATTATTTTGATATCATTTTGGTATAATTTTAAATTTATTTAAAATACAAAATGTTAATTATATTTAGTCTTTAGCAACAAAGCTATTAATTTATTATTAATTGACATTGTAAGAATAGTTGCCTTAGCTATAATACCCTTTGCCTAGAGTTAAAAAGCAATTACTAAGTAAATCCTGTGGCAGTTAATAGGTTAGAAAGCAAACTCAGAATAGTTGAAATTGCAATAGCAAGCAAAGAGAAGACAATGATTCAGGGTAAGCAGGGATTTGGCCTGGGAGATGCAGAAATGTCCCTTTTGGTTACTATTCACCTTACCTCACAAGAAATACATTCCACATAAAGGGAGAAAAGAAAAAAAAAATAAAAACAACTTTATAACCATATACTTATGGACAAATTACTATAAAGAGCATGTTTCCTAATGAAACAGAATGAATAAAATACTCAAAACTAAAATGCAGTATCAAGTACAAGATGTTGTAACTCTTGTTACAAGTTATTCAGTTGGTTTTAAAGTGATGGATTAAAAAAAAAAGTTTGCCTTTCATGTTAAGACATCAGAAACAATATAAAATTCACACATTAGTCATGAGTTTTTAGTTTACACAATGATGAAAAGGAAAATGTGATGTACACAAAAAGCTTCTATACATGAGTGTTTTATATATTTAAGAAGGCCCAGTTTATGCCTAAAAGTGTATTTAAGACTTTAACAAAATACATAATATTAGAGATTTTTTCAAGTTAGTTTATCTTTAACAAAATATGTTAATCATCCTATCTTTTATTAATTCACTAATTTTTGGGCCACAATGAAATATTTATTTGAATATAGTATATATTAGTTAATATTCAATGAGATGATATTGAACTCACCCATATAAATGTCAACTATATTAATCAACTGTTCATAAAACAGGTAACTTGACAAAGGCAGTAACAACGTTTTATTACACCAAACAAACTGGACAAAATACATATATCTGACTAACACAGTTCCTCAATTTGTAGCATTACTCATTGTATTCTCATCTTTGTTGCTGTTTAACAGGTCACTGGAAGCCTTTGGAAAGCCTCCTATAGTTTCACATTATGTATAACTAAATATAATGGGGGACAAAAGCTGACCATTTAATATAGTCAGGAACAGTAATGAAAAATAGGTTGAGAAGGTTAAAGAACACCTGATAAGGTTATGGATTATCACCTGATAGCACTATAATACCCAGGAGTTAAATATGTACAGGGAGAAATCACTGAAGAATAGCTGGATAATTTGATGTCTCAGATCTCTCTTATATAAATAGTAAGCAAAGTAAAGTGGTAGTATTTTTGGCAAATTTTTTGATAATCCTTCCATGTCTCAACAGGCACTTTACCAAATGCAGCTTTCTTGCTGTTTCAGTTCCTCCCCAAACATAAGACTAATTAGCATTTACCAAAATATGATTTTTGGAAACATGGTCCTTTGTGATAATTTATTAAAGAAAGGGGTTCCAAAATTCAAGTAATTTCTGGACATATTTATGTCCATTTTAGAAAGTCACTCCTATAATAAAGAAATGGATTAGTTCTTTTATTTAAAAAATTATTTTTAGCATGGAACCATTTACTTATTTATTTAAATTTTATTTCTTTTCAGTGTTCCAGAATTTATTGTTTATGCACCACACCCCGTGCTCCATGCAATACATACCCTCCATAGTACCCACCACCAGGCTCACCCAACCCCCCACCCCTTCTCCTCCAAAACCCTCAGTTTGTTTCTCAGAGTCCACAGTCTCTCACGGTTTGTCTCCCCCTCCAATTTCCCCCAACTCACTTCTCTACCATGGAATCATTTTGAGGAACATTTATTATCCTGTGATACTACTGTGAGGTAGGGTCCTCTGTCAATTCTTGAATTTAGATACCTTTGAAATATGCAACCATTCTTATAGTGTGCCAAGATACAACTGTACTTTTGAAAGAACTCGGGCCTAAGAGAACTGGGTTCCTCAATAATGGTCTTCTTTTAAAAATCTTGCTTATTGGGATTCCCTATGAGAATGAGACAAACAAAAAAATTTTATTTATAGCTATTAGTTGATGTAATATCAATGAACTAATTCTAGGTTTGAAATGTTGAGCTTTAAAAGGAGGAAGTACATATTTCAACTTATGTGTACCCCAGCTAGGAGACAGGTGAGTTTCACAGGCTGCATGGCACTGACCAGGGGAGGGACTGCTTGAGAGCTCTCGTGAAGAGTGTAGTCACATGCCTAATGTCTCTGTGGAGATTGTACCCAGGCGGATTCCTAATGACAGGCACTGTGTGGAAAGAATCCATGCCATATATTTGCTATCCCTAAACAACAGTGTTTTTCTATTACTAGGTTTTTCTTTAATTCTAAGATGACTACTAAAAAAGAGAGCAGTGAATAAGGAGAATTCTTAATACATGTACCTGAAAAATTCCTTGTAGCCAGCATAGTTGTCAAGATGGCACCCTGTCAGAAAAATAAAGAATATGAAATTAATGTTACTTAAGCCAATCTTTGTCCTGATAAATAAACAGTCTTTGATAACATATCTTCTCCTAGCCTTACTTTCAGCTGGGAGATTTTTATTTGTCTGTTTTTGGTTTTTGTTTCCTGAGAGCAGCAGGTTTATATCTTACATAATGCTGGGGCTGCCCTCATATGTGTGGCCAGATTCCAATTACCAAGTTGTACAGTTGTTTTCCTCCAAAGGGAGGAACCACAGCACACACTACACAGAGATCCTAACTCTTCACTGTAGACTTACTTTCAGTGTGCTATTCCATTTTCTGAAGAGCCAGAAGAAGAGGGACTACTGAAGTCTGCACATTTAAAAGTCTTGCTGAAAAGTTATTTTTTCATAGAGAATCTCATTTCTCACTCTGCCACGTCTACCTCCCCACAAAAATGTAAAATTACTTACCTTTAGCTTTCTTCTAGCATTAAATTTCTTCAAGCAGTCTACAGTCTCCTGTCTGTGCATCATGGAAGCAACAGTAGAACGTTGCTGGAAGAGGAAGAAAGGAAACTTAGGATATTTAAAACATACTAAGTATTACATTATCTCAACTTCATCAAATCTGCATTAAGGGTGCCTGAACCTATATGATGAACTTGTAATTATTTACTTGCAAAAAAAGTTCCCTAATAATGGATGACTAGTTTTGCCAAGACTATTTTTGCAACATTTATCTATAGAAAGTATAGAAATGAGTATCAATAGTTCCCCAAATCACCTTTATTTCAATGTCTTTAATTATATTTCTATTGTATTGTCTTTCATTTACTTAGGACCATATTTACTGCCCTAACATTTGACACTTAACCCTAGAAATGTACTGAAATCTCTACATTTCTTCCAAATTTCAGTTTTCCTTGGCACATCTAAAGTATATTCAGGCTACTATGGCCATTCTTTCTTGCTAGTATAACTTTACTACACGCTTCTAAACCTTATTTTTTCCCCACTAAAACTGTTTAATGATAAATAATTGAACTTTGTCCAATATTCTCTACTAGGATATAGTTAATCTTGGTGTCATTTCCTTGACCTTTGTTCATGAGTATTATCAATAACTGGTAGGGGAAATACTCATTCCTTGTATTATTGTAGGCAATATTCATCAATCTATGTAAATTAGATTTTGTTATCCCAAAGAGCAACCATCATTACAAATTTATTTTCTTAAACACCTTGAGTGACATAGTCATTCATTTTTAGTTTCATCTTGTTCTGCAAAAATTATCTTAAATCCATGAAAACAATTTTAAGAGGAATTTATTTTTAATTTTTCTCCTAAGGTCTTTACAGAATTGTCACTTACACAGATCCATGGATGTTTCAGTGCCTCGGAGGCTGTGATACGCTTGGCAGGGTTGATAGTAAGCATTTTATTGATTAGGTCTTTGGCTTCAGGAGTCACTGTGTCCCACTCTGGTGATGGAAACTTAAAATATACAAATTTATAAAGAGTTTAAAAAATAGATACACTCAGTCAAAGAGGGAAGAACCAAGCAAACTAATCATTTCCTTAAGTAGTGAATTTCTTCATACATTTACTTTTTGTAGAAGTTAAGTTAGATCTACAGATAGATAAACTGATATATAGCAGTATATATCCCCTCTGTCTCTATTTACATAAAGAAAAATAACCAATAAGGGCTAAATATCTATTCTAAATTGCATATTATACCTAGTAATACACTTTAAAATTTAGAAAAATAAACTTAAGAATCTTCTAGTCCTCTCAAGGCATCCTTATTTGGTTTGAAAATAAAATTTTATGCAATCTTATAATTATTTGCAAACATCAATAAAGCTGACAGGCTGTCACATGTATTGATGTCATCATGCTATTACACCAAGATTCAAAAGGAGGTATCACCAAAAAAAAAAAAAAAGCGGTATTACATACTTTCATAACTCATGAGCAGGAATAGTAGAGATAATAACACAGCTTCCATTACCTGTGCCCAAACTGACCTACTATTTGTGGCTATTTGTAATATAGTACTGGAAGAAATCTCAGCCTATAAGAACCTTAGCAGGACTCCATTTTAACATCTCAGAAAGGTTAATCTGCCTGATTACAAATTTCATCAAAAAACAAAGTTCTTAAAAGGAACCAGTATTCATAACTTCTCTTAGTAATCCATCTGTGCACGAATAACTATACAATAAACTATTTACTCTAAGTTTCTTCATTTAAAATTTGTGTAGATAAAAATGCAACCTTGTTTTCACATAATTTATTAGTAGAAATACTACTCTTGTTAGGTTCAGAAAAATTTACATCACATTAGTTTCTAAGCAACAGACAGAATATCCGGTCCTTTTCTCAGTTCATGAATTGCTATAGATAATCTTGGAACAAATGCCACTGTCACTGTATCATGGACTTTAGTTCACTTTTAGTAGTTATAAAATGGGTACTTTGTGACCCATTGGCAAAATGAAATAAGAAATGATAGTGACTCTTTAATACTTCAAATTTTACCAGTTTAACAACTGTCATTTTAATTCCAAATGTTATTATGGGAAGCTGTAAAAACTTGTTAATGATTAGGAGCTACTGAAGAAATATTCAAGGCCACTCCTTCATGGTGTACAGATCTTCCGACAGCAAATTGGGAGCTGGTTCAGCCTGAATAAAGGTGCACCTTTTTCTCATTTTTAAAATTTTAACAAAGTCCCTCCTTCACATTGATCAAACAGTGCACCTGCATAGCTGTATCTTCCCAGGGGGTGCCTAGTTGTAGTCTGTAAAAATGATGAATGTGCTAGCTATGGCCACATAAATCATAATTTGGTCCAATTATTAGTCTGACTAGAATGGAATACTTCAAAATTAAAAGAATATACATTTTAAATTCTTACATTACACACATCCATATGTAGAACATTTATTTTTTTATTGTGTTATGTTAGTCACCATACAGTACATGTCATTAGTTTTTGATGTAGTGTTCCAAGATTCATTGTTTACATATAACACCCAGTGCTCCATGCAATAAAGAAATGACATGCTGAGTTCATGTGGCCTGATACAATATAATACAGACTTTTTAAAAACTCCTTTCACTTCCACATTGAGCTTTTAACTTGGGCACAGCAGGACAGACCAATAATGCCTACTTCTTTTAGTAACCCCATTTAATAATAAATGGAAAGCATCTCCAGACTTTGAACTCTAATTTTCAGAGGGCTGACTAAGTGAGGTATACCCAGAGGTAGTGGTAAATTATATTTACAGATATATTTGTCAAAGGAGAGAAAATTATATCAATGAACACAAAGTTAAGCCCTAAAGAGAAAATTTATAAGGCCTTACTTTTTAGATTTAGGACTTAATTCATATTCATACTTTCATATATTCTTAACTGCAAATTAAATGTATTAGAACGGTGATTTTCAAACATTTTAAAATTATGAAACCCATTTTTCAAATGAAAACTTGCACAGATGCCCATTATAGAAACAGGACAAAAAAAGTCAAGCTAACGCAATGGAACAATGTTCTATTTGATACATGGATCACTGCAAAGTACTACTGATATACTATTTAAAATTATGTGATAAACATTTGGGAATATAATTCAACTTAACAAGCAGTAATCATTTCTAAAGCAAAAATCTTTAAATTTTTCTATGTTTTAAAATGCACTCAGATCCCAAAATTTTTACAAGCAAGGTCCTCTTCCTTAGAGACTTCCAACTGTATTTCTTTCCATCCTAGGAGATAGTGAACTAAAAGGAAATATAAACTGAATACATATGCTACATTCCTTACTCTTTATCTCCCTTTCCCTAGGAGAGAGAAAAAAAAGTAAGAGAAACAGTTGAAAATTATAGTTAAACCTGTAATGAAAAAATCTGGTTCTTGGTCAAAAGACAAAACACAAACACTCATCTACAGCCATATGAACATTTATTACATACATCATAAGCTCCAGCCTTAATCTGCTGATACAGTCTGTGTTGATCTTCATCCCAGAAGGGTGGATATCCCACCAGGAGGATATAGAGAATGACACCTGGACAGAATGAGCATATTAACATAATGTTTAATCATTCAGGCAACGATAAGTTAAATGTTGCAGATTCACAATGACTCTAAGCCACACCCATCCAAAGAGAGGAAACACGGTATTTGGAAAACTTTCCAAAGACATTCTCTGATCTAATCTGAAGCATTCGTTGGAGGGTGAATACTCCTGTTCTTATGCTCAAGAACTCTGATAATATGTGGCAGTTTAAAACATAAACCAAAGAATTCTATGTACACTTGAAAAGAATGTGCTCTTCAGTTGCTTTTGGATGGAAATTACATATATTTCTGTTATGTGCATCTGGCCTAATGGGTCATACTATCTAATTTCCTTATTAATTTAAGGACCAAAGAATCCTGAAGAGGCATAGCAGGTCAATACCTAAAGATGAAACTCACCTGTCATCGGGATGACATATTCTTTGTGTCCCTGAACAAGACTTGTTTTGTGGCCTAATATATGATCTTTCCTGAAAAAGGTTACTTGTGCATTCAAGAAGAATGTGTATTCTATTGCTTTTGGATAGAATATTCTGTAATTATCTGTTAAGTTCATCCAGTCTAACGTGTTTAAGGTGAATATTTCCTTACTGATTTTCAGTCTGGATGATCTATCCATTGATGTAAATGGGGTATTAAAAACCCCTACTGCTACTGTAATGCTATCTATTTCTCCCTTTAAGGTCTGTTAAAATTTATTTATTTAGATGCTCCTATATTGGGTATATAAATATATACAAATGTTATATCCTCTTATTGGATTGACCTCTTTATCATTATGTAATGCTTATTTTTGTCTCTTATTACAGCCTTCATTTTAAAGCCTGTTTTGTCTGATACAAGTATAGTTACTCCAGCTTTCTTTAGGTTTCCATTTGCTGAAATAGTTTTTCCCATCCCTTCACTTTAAGTCTATGTGTCCTTAGATCTGAAGCGAGTCTCCTATAGGCAGTGTAAATTTATTTATTTATTTATTTTTTTCCCAATCCAAACAACCACTCTATGTCTTTTGATTAGAGAATTTAATCCATGTGCATTTAAAGTAATTATTGATAGGTATGTATTTTTGTCATTTTGTTAATTGTTTTTGTAGTTCTCTCTGTTCCTTTCTTCTCTTGCTCTCTTCTTTTGTGGTTTGATGACTTTTCTTTGTGGTATACTTATATTCCTTTCTCTTTCTCTCTTCTGTATATATTATAGGTTTTCACCTTGTGGTTATCAGGAGGCTTAACATATAACAAGTTCTAATTATAACAGTCTACTTTTAAGTTGATAACTTAAGTTTGGTCTTATTCTAAAGCTTACATTTTTACTCTTCCCTGTCCCACACTTTTTTTTTAAATTTTATTTATTTATTTGACACAGAGGTCACAAGTAGGCAGAGAGGCAGGCAGAGAGAGAGAGAGGAAACAGGCTCCCCACTGAGCAGAGAGCCAGATGCGGGGCTCAATCCCAGGACCCTGGGATCATGACCTGAGCTGAAGGCAGAGGCCTTAACCCACTGAGCCACCCAGGTGCCCCCCCACACTTTGTTTTTGATGTCACATTTTACTTCTACATCCTTTAGCTAGTTATCACAATCATAGAATTTTTACTAATTTTGTCTTTTAACCCATATACTTTATAATTGATTAATCCACTACCTCTACCATGTATTTACCTTTCCAGTGAGATTTATTCTTCCATATGTTTTCTTGTCACCAATTAGTAACCTCTCTTTTCAGCTTAAAGAAATCCCTTTAACGTTTCTTGTAAGGCTGGTTTAGTTTGATGAACTCCTTTAGTTTTTGTTGTATGGAAAAACTCATGATCTCTCCAATTTTGAATGACTTTGCTGGGTAGAATATTCTTAGTTGGAAGTTTTTTTCCCCTGTCAGCACCTTGAATGTATCATGCCACTCACTCTGGCCTGCAAAGTTTCTGCTGAAACACTTATTTTGGGGGTTCTGTGGTACACAACTATTTGTTTTGTCTTATTGCTTTTACTATTTTCTTATCTTTAACTTCTGACATTTTAATTATAATGTGTCTTGATGTGGGTCTCTTTGATTTCATCTTATTTGGAAACCTTTGGGCTTTGTGGATATGAATGTCTGTTTCCTTCCCCACTTCCTTCCTTATCTTCCTTAAGGAAGTTTCTAGCCATTATTTCTTCAAACATGTTTTTTGCCTCTTTCTCTCCTCCTTGTGGGACCCCATAATGTAAATGTTGGTCTGCTTGATGTTGTCTCATAAGCCCTTTAAGTTATTTTCATTTTTTTTCTTTTCTTTCCTTTTTTTTTTTTTTTTTTTTTTTGCTGCTGTGATTGGCTGAGTTCCACCAGCAGCTTGGATTCATGTTAACTGATCCTTCTACTTCATGCAATGTGTTGTTAAGCCTCACTAGTATGTTTTTCAGTTACTGTATTCTTTGGCTCTGTGATTTCTATTTGGTACTTTCTTTTATTTTCCATTTCCTTGCTGAAGTTCTCACTGTGTTCATCCATTATTTTCCCACATTGGATGAACATCTTTATTAGCATTACTTCGAGCTCTTTATTAGTTAAATTACTTATCGGCATTTTATTAAGGTTTTTTTGGTGAGGTTTTATTTTATATTTCCATTTGGAATATATGCCTCTTTTTTTTTCTTTTCATTTTACTTCAAATGAAAAGTGTTGATCCCTAGCGTAGATAAAACAACAGCCTCTCCTTGTGTAGAAGATGAACCTTGTCTTTCAACTCTGCTATCTCTCAAACCTTTATTAATATTAAAAAAGCCTACTATATTTTTATGAGCCCTCAGTAGGTGAGGATGTCCCAAGACCTGTCAGTGACTGAAAGAGAAGGAGTTCATTACCTAGATTCAGGCTGTATGGAAGCCAGACCCTCAGGTACCAGCTTTAAAAATTATGCAAATATGTCAGTCCTGTGGAACAAGCGTAAGCCCCACTGACCAAGCAATTTGGCGGTCACCTGGGTGACAGTCACAAAAATTGAGGCTCCAGATGACTGTATCATCTCTTTTCTGAGAGATACTGGCAAGCTGGAACAAGGCAGAAGGAGAGGGCCAAGATGGTGTCTACAACCTACATTCCTAGAGAGTAGCTCTTAATCTACTAGATGTGTACCAACCCTGAAGCCTGCTCCTCGGGCCAAAGTTCTAAGACAAGCCAAGAGGCCCCCTTCACAGAAAGACTGGAAGGAGGTATGCCTCAATTTGCTGTCTGTGCAGTATCCTGGGGTGGCAGCCAGCCAAGAATTCTGTCTCCAACTGCCAGTCCTGTGGGTCCCAGGCATGCAAGTCTTCCTGACTAGCCAGGCAATCAAGGGGCATACCCTAGGGGGCAGATGCAAAAACAGGGCAGATGTAAAAACCAGGACACCAGCTGCATGCAAAGCTTCCCTCCAGGAGACACTGGCGCTCTGGAGTGTGGCAGAAGGACAGCATGAAGATAGTGGTGCTCTCTAACATCTCTGGAAAGGATTACAGTCATTCCTTAGATGTGTGTTTAACTTGAAATCTGCTGCTCAGGCTGCACAATGGTTTTTAGTTAATAGGCCCCCTTCACAGAAAGACCAAGCCCCTAGGCCTGTTGCCTCTTGTTGTGCAGTGGGGGTGGTAGCTATTTAAGAACTCTCTCTCCATCAATTACTGTCCTATGGGACCCACAAGCGGAAGCCCCACTGACCAACAGAGCTGGTAATGTGGAGGTGTCGCCTGGCAGCAGGTGCCAGACATGGATATAAGCTCCTCTGGGTGATGATGATAATTACAGTCTTATGAGATGAAGAATACAAAACTCCTTGGCCTCCAGAGCCAGCCAGTCAGGAGGCATCCCCTGGGCAGCAGCCACAAAGATCAGGGCACCAGAAACATGTAAAATCTTCTTTCCTGGTGCTCTGGAGCACAGCAAAGGGAGAGCACGGACACAGCACTTGCCAGAGAATATTCCTAGGTTCCCAGATATGTGTGTTAAGTTAGATGCCTGCCCACAGGCTGATACTGTAACATAAGCAGGTCAACCTCCTTTACTTTATGTCTGGATGCAATCAGGCTGCCTCTGAGCTGGGCCCTAGGGCAGATATGTCCAAGCATCCAGGCCCACTAAGAGCTGTCTTTCAGATCATGATACCCTTGTGCATCTGGGACATGAGTCTTATTGGTTTTCAAAATTAGATGTTTTTGGTGCTCATGTCTCAGGTGCACATCCTAAAAGTTGAAGTGCTGGCTGTGGGGTATGAACCCTCTACTCCTCAAGGAGAAGGCCTGGGTTTTGAGTTTATTCCTCATTGTTGGTCATGGAACCATGGGCAGGGTTTATCGTGAGATTGTGTCCCAGCCTCTCCTATGCACTTCAGTGTGGTTTTCTTTTGCCCAATGTACTCAGCCAGCTTTTAGTTGTTGTTGTTGTTGTTATTAAAGAGGAAATTTTTCCATATGAAGCTGCAGAGTCAGGATATCCATGGGGGGAGGTGAATTTGGGATCTTCTAACCTTGCCATCTTGAACCAATCCCCTTCTACTTTTGAAAAGTTTATTGGCCTGCATGAGGTCTTTAGTTTCCGCCACTACTCTGACCTCTACTGCTTTGTTTGTTTTGCTGTTTCCCTTAAACCATGGAAACAAAGGACAGATGGGTAAGACAGGTAAAACTTTGCCTGGCATGGCCCAAGATTCCTTTTTTTAAACCAGTCTCGATCTCTTGGATTTCTTTAGCTTTTCTTTATTAGGGAGCTCTAGCCGTACTCTTGTCCATCAGACTTGACATCTTTATATCGTAGACAGTATGGCAGCTAAAATGGCTTTTAAAAGGTGGTTTAATCACCCTAGACTATGACAGCCTGTTTCAGGAAGTTCCATTTCAAAGCAGATTCTTAAATTTGTGTGAATCACAACCAGAGTAGAACAATTTAAGTAACAATATATTTAAACATTCTTGAATAAAAAACTTACAAAGCTTTAAAATCAAAACTGAAAAGTATTTTATAGTGGAATTAAAAAGGA